CCTGACAAGAAGGGCTTCTATGCTCAGCCTGTGCATGGCAGCTGTGGAGAGGGAAGGAGGCCATCAGCCCTGCTCCCTGGCTTTGCCACGAGGTACTTTCTTCCCATCCCCTGATGCTCTTACCAGTTTTCTTGTGAAGTCCCCTTTGCCTCATATCTAATTTGTTGGCTCTAGCCCTATACAGCATAGTTAAAGCAAAGGCATCACATTTTCCTTAATATCCAAGATCTGAATGATTTATGCTGCACCTCAGGTCAAGCGTTCACCACAGAGAGAGCCGGGTATACCTGTGCTCAGTGATTCTGGCTGGTAGCCCTGAAGTCTGACCCCATTGTCTAGCCAGCTTCTCAAAGTTTATTGTGCAACAGAACAGGGGCCAGTTATGGCTTCAGGGCCAACTGCCCAAGGCCTGTTTTTGAGCAGCTGAGAGCTGAGGATGGTTTTTATTTTTATGTTTTTAGATGGCAGGAAAAAAAATCTAAATGATTTATCACACATAAAAATTTTATGAAATTTAAATTTCAGTGCTCACACATAAACTATTCATGCCCATTTATTTTCATATTATCTGTAGGAACTTTCACACCACAAGGGCAGAGCTGAACAATTACCAAAGAGAACTATGGCCTATAATGCCTGAAATATTTGCTATCTTGTTCTTTCCAGAAAAAGTTTGCCAACCTGTGGCCCAAAGAGCTTTTAAAATACAGATGTACTAAGCCCCAACCCCAGTTTCTGACTCAGCAAGTCTAATCAGAGACCAAAAGTTTTCCGTTTCCAAAAATTTCCTAGATGATGCTGATGTTGCTGGTGTGAGAACCCTGGCTGGCAATGTCCAGGGATAATCATTTGATCCCTGTAACTTGACATGTCATTTAAGTCCTTTATCTAGTCCCAGTGGAGGGCTGAAATGACTTCACTTCTCCTCCCCGAGAGTTTGAATTATGTTTATAGAAGATGAGTAGCAGAGGGGTTTAGAGCTGGAGAGAAATCCAGCTTCACCACCTGCTGGAGCTGTGACTTTCTGCGAGTTACTTAGCCTCTCTGAGACTCAATTTCTTGTCTATTAAGATGAGGCAGTATGTAGGAAAGAAAAACAAACTATTTATTCCTATTATATTTTCCACAGAGAGCACTTTTGGTCACTGAAATGTGTGGAGATTTTATCCTCATATCAACCAATTCTCCAGCTGGGACCCTAGCTGGGTGTCCTACAATTCCATTCAATTCTGATACTTACTAAAGTCACACAGACCCCAGAGGTGAAGGGCTCAGTTCTCTAAGACTATCCTTCCCCCGTATTTCAAACATCAATTGCAAGTAGTAGGTTCCCAGGTTACCCACAACTTATGTCCAACTTGGCTGCAAATCAGAGGCTCCCATGACCCCCTGCTTTGTAGGATAACTTGCTAGAATGGCTCACAGAACTCAGAGAAGCACAGTCATGTGCTGCACGATGAAGTTTTGGCAGATCATGGTCCACATGTAGGACGGAGGTCTCATCAAATCATGATAAAGAATTTTCCTGTACCTTTTTAGATGTTTAGATATACAAGTACGTATACTGTGTTACCATTGCCTACAGTACCATGCTGTCCAGGTTTGTAGCTCGGGAGCAATAGGTCATACCATACAGCCTGGTGTGCGGCCGGCTGTGCCATCTAGATGTGTCTAAGAATTCTCTGTGGTGTCCGCATAAGAAATAAATTGCCCAATGATGCATTTCTCAGAACATATCCCCATTGTCAAGTGCATGACCATGCTTACATTAACCAGTTTATTATGAAAGATGTTTCAAAGGTACAGGTAAGTAGCCAGATAAAGAGGTACAGAGAGCAAGGTAGGTAGGAAGGGGTTGAGGGCTTCTGTGCCCTCTCTGGGTGCCCCATGCTCTAGGCACCTTCATGTGTTTATCAGCCGAAAAACTCCCCAAACTCCACACCTTGGGGATTTTTATGGAGGTTTCATCATGTAGACATGATTGACTATTAACCCTGTCTGTAACCCCTTGGCCCTTCCCAGAAGATCAGAGGATGAGGGGTAGAGCTGAAAAATCCAAACTTTTACTCATGCTTGGTCTTTCTGGGGGTCAGCTCCCACCTGGGAACACCAAGAGTTACCTTATTTAAAAAAAGGCACTCTTATCACCCGGGAAATTCCTTGGAATTCAGTAGCTTTGTGCCAAAAACTGAATCAAAGATCAAATATTGGGACACAAGATTCTCCCCAGCACCCCTATTACTCAGGAAATTACAAGGGTCTTGGGAGCTGGCTGGAAGTAGGAGAAGACCTAGTATATATATCCTACTATAAATCATAGTATTGTAAAGGCTAATAACAATAGATTCTATACTTTGTAAAGTTGGTGCAAGCAGGAAATTAGTAAATACACATACGTTCTTGGGAAGGCACCTGGTGCACGCTGAAAGCTGTAACAACACCAACACCAGTTGTTACCGTGAAGCCTGCATGGGGCTGATGGGATGCTCCTCAACCCTGGCTGAATATTGGACTCACCTGGCTTAGTTCTGACTCTCAGGGATTCTGATTTAATTGGTCTAGGGTATGGCTGGGGTGTTGGGATCTTTGAAATTTTAAAGGGAGGTTATAATGTAGCACTGTCCAATAAGAAATAGAGAGTTGCATATATATGCTTATATGCAGTTGTATATGCTTATGTTTTTTAGAAGCCACATTTTGAAAGGTAAAATTTAACAATATGTTAAATAATGATGTCATATTATTGATAAACAATATATTAATGGTAAAACTCAATATATCCCAAATATTATCATTCCAACATGTAACCAATATAACAATGATGTAGCCACTTTACATTCTTTTTTCATACTATGTCTTTGAAACTGAGCCTGTATTTTATATTTAAAGCACATCTCAATTCAGACTGGCTACATTTCAGGGGCTTAGTAACCACTTCAGACTTGTCATTGCTGCATAGGACAGCACTGACGTGACTAATAAATATGCAACCCACATCGAGAACCGTGGGGGAAGGTGGTTGTGGACCAGGCAAAGCTACCTAACTATGTGGGGGTTCTGCCTGCCTTACTGTGTTGACTGTCCAGGGAGTTGGCTGCAGCTTCTCTCCTTAGGGTGAGTAATTAGGTGTGGTCATTCAAGACATTGAAGGAATTCCAAGCTAGTCTTAGAAATTGATGTCCAGTTTATGGAGTCAGTTTGAAAACATCAAGATCAACTACAGTGGGTGAATTTACACAACTTGATGCTACCACAGGAGAGGGAGACTGAGGAGCATTAACAGAGAAGAAGGCAAAACAGTGGCCAGTTTTATTTTCTTCTCGGTTGAGTCCACAGCTCCAGCAAAGGGAAAGGGTAGGGAATGGCAGTTCCGTGAATCCTTGATATTCTATGCAACTCTCTGATTCAGAACTTTCTATTCAACTCCATATATCGCTGAGTATTCTATAGGCTGTGATTCTCTTTGACAACTCTTAGATGTATTCTATGGGAGAAGATACGTCATCCTCTCTATTCTTTCCTACAATGAAAAACTAACACTTATGGATAAAGTTGCAAATTTATTCTAAAAACAAAACAGATTTTTCAAAAAGGGCAAAACTAAAGGTCTACAGTGCCACTGTTTAGAGACACGAGCACTGGTAGCCCCTGAGTGTGTGCTTTTCAGGGCTTTGGGATGTATATCCTTACAAACATTTTAATTAAGAAAGGCTCCAATGGAGAGTACTCTTGTATAGTACTCATGTATTAACATGCTTCCTCTTCTTCTTCTTGTTTTTTTAAGAGACGAAGTCTTGCTCTGTAGCCCAGGTTAGAATGTAGAAGTGCCATCATAGTTCATGGCACCCTTGAATGCCTGGCCTCAAGCAATCCTCCTGCCTCGGCCTACTGAGCAGTTGGGACTACATGCATGTACCACTACATCTGGATAATTTATATTATTTTTTATAGAGATAGGATCATGCTATGTTGCTTAGGTTGGTCTTGAATTTCTGGCCTCAAGTGATCCTCCTGCCTGAGCCTCCCAAAGTCCTGGGATTATAGACATGACCCACTGTGCCCAGCCAGCCTATAGCACACTCCTTTGTCATCTAATATTCTTATGAGTCTATTTTTGTGTACTTTAACAATCTCCTACGACATCATTTTAAAATCACAGCATTTTATACCTTTGTTTGGCCAAATAATGACCTACTTAATCAATACCTTGTAAGCCATTTAGGCTGTTTCTCCCAAATTGCTAATCACACCATACCTGATGGTACTAAAGGAGCAACCTTTGGTCTTTGTATCTGATGTGCTTGCTGCCTTAGAGCTCTCTGAGGAACATGCAGAAGAAAAGGAGAAAACGCTTTGTGCCTGTAGTCTCACCACGCCTGATCCATTTTGTAGTTTTATCTGGCTTGGAGAACAGCCAGTGAGATGCAGTTTGCAGAGGCAGGCATATTAACACTGTGAAAATGATACCAATCAACTCAGCTGCAACTGACACCACCATACCGCCCACAGTGGACACCAGGTTTCCTCACTGCTCTGCTAAGAAGGATCTGAAAACCTCAGAGAGACTCAATTTCATGCTTAATGTGTCAACAGCAGCTTGAGCTTGGGTTTGGATTGACTTCCCCTCTCCCTGGTGCATTTCTCTCTCCCTGTGCTCTTCGTATTAACCACATCTTTGGAATAGAGTCCATTCCTTGGCTTAAAAAAATGTAATAACCCAAGATGCCTTCGAATTTAAGGTTTTAGTTGCCTTGTCTTATATACTTTACATAATTGTTTGCTCATGCAGCATTTGTATATCACTTTTCTGATTGTTTTATATTACATGACGTTTCCTGGCAATTCCCCAAGTGCCAGTTTCTCAGCCTGCCTGTGCGGTCATTATCCCCATTGCAATATAGAAGTAAATGGCTGTAGAGCTGCCCAGAATTCATATAAGGTAAACATCAGGCCTTAGCGCTGCTAAACTGAATTGGACACCTCAAACCATCTGAGGGAACAATATCTCTTCTGTTTTATTAATTCTAGGTTTTTGTAAACTTGGAGGGTTAAGAACATTTACTGTCGACTATGATTCCATGTGCATTGTGTCTCTGTGCCATGCCTAAGTGTCATTGGTCGCTTTTGAGGCAGACAGGTGTACTTGCCTTCAATCCAGTGTATATCCATGTGTAAATTCAATAAAATAAGTATTTGCAGTGTGTTTACCCTGTACCAGCACTCTTCGCCATGTATACGGAAACAGAGATGGATATGAGCAAGAGGTCAGAAGTTTAACAGGAGAGACACACACATGCACACACTAACTATAGAATTCACCTCCAGCTGAGATAAGGGCTGAGGGCGATGTAGGAACGTGAAGCCCCTGGGGCACCAAGGGGTATTTGGCTGTGGTTGGAGGAAGGCTTCCGAGAGAAGGGGACATTTGAGTTAGGTTTGGAGGGAAGATAAATGTGGAGTGGGGAGAAGAGGCTCAGAGGACCATCCAAGCAACTTCATGTGTGTTCAAATGCAGGCTGCGGTGAGAAAGTGGCAAACCATTTGTTAAGGCTGTTGCTGAGGGTGCGTGTGTGGGAATGGGGCGAGATGCAGCTGCAGAAGAGGCAGGAGTCAAATTGGTGATAAACTTTGGTCATTAGAGCCCTTAGACATTTTTCTACAGAACAGGGGGCTCTTGAAGGCTTTAATTAAACCACGGGGGCAACTCAGGGGCTTGGGTAGGCCAGGAGGTGAGGACGAGGCAGAGAGGAGAGGTGGGGATGGGAGGGAGCCCTTCTGGGGGGCATATGGAGGGGGTCAAAGGTTAGTGAAAAGGGGGCTAATGTTAATAGAATGGGTTTCTCTTCTCTACTAGGAGTCTAGCTACCTGATGCCCATATCAGTCAATGACCCAAATGGGAAAGGCTGTGACATTTAGTGGGCTTCATTTTATTTTCTTTTTCCAAGTCCATGGCTACCATGTTTCCCTGAAAAGAAGACCTACCCCCCAAAATAAGCCCTAGTAGGATTTCTATGCATTTGTTAAATTTAAACCCTACCCTGATAATAAGACCTAGTGATGGGCAGATATGCTGCATAGCCATGCCATGCATTTTAGTGCATAGAGGAAGACATCCCCTGAAAATAAGCCCTGGTGTGTTTTCCTGAGAAAAAATAAATATTAGACAGTGTCTTATTTTGGGGGAAACACAGTATATTGAGGAGACTTCACCACTAAAGAAAGAGGCTGTTGAGGGTACACCTGGAAACGTTATGGACCTCAATCGATTTTTGGAAGTTCTTCGTACTATCTGCGGCCAGCCACTTTTTATAAGGTGTCTCTATCCCCAGTAACAATTTTCTGTTTGTAGACTACCTCACACACATCATTTTGTTTTGATTTTCATGACATCCCTATGAGGTCGGGATTTTGTTGTATTTATATTACAGATGCTGCTGAGTAAGGGTTAGTTTGTCCATAAGTAAGGCTTGTGCTGGGCTGTGACCTGGGTACCCCAACCTCAGATGCAAGCTCTTGGTCATCTGGGTGGGCCCTGAAAGCAGTGAGCCAGATGGATGGCTTACCTCCTTTCCTTCTTCCGCAGAAAGAAAACTTGGGCTGGTCCTCCTCACAGATGGGATAGGAGAAATTCAAAATAGATGATCCTTTAGAGATGAGAGCTATGTCAAGAAACAGCTCTTTGATATCGTGTCCTGAAGGAAAGAGAACAGTCTCATCATTATTATCTGTTTCGTCACATATCAAAGGCTGTTTATAACAGCGTGAGCTACGGAGCCTTTCAGGTCCTCTAGTATGCTCTGTGTTGGGAACAGTTTTCTTCTTTTCTTGGCAAATCATTCAGGCAATGCTGCAGGGGATAGCAATGATGACCCTGGGTAATGGAAGGTGGTCTTTTCTCAAACTCTACCTGTTAGGGGCAAGGTAGTTAATTTTCTGTGCTCCTCTATTCTAATGCTATGGCCTCTTAATCTGATTTTTGCATGTCTGGCTTCTAGAACTTCTCAGCTACATAGTATTATTGATCCCCATGATAGGGTTGATGCAGGATCAAGCCTACATTTTCCTGCTGTTATTGCCAGGCAAATACTGCACCAGGGACACAAAGGAAGCTTCAGAAGCTCTATGGTGGTGGCTTTTAATTCTCTCTGCCTTTTTCTCCATTTGTGCCTTTTATGTTTCACCCACTCCTCCTTCCATTCCTCTTTTCTCTCTTTCTTTTCCTCCCCAAAGAATTTCTTGAGCTGCTATTGGAGTCCAGATATTGTGCAAGATTCTAGAAATGAAAAGATGTATGAGAGTTCTTTATCTCTGGGAATGTTCCCTCCATTTCTCAGAAATGATTCCACATGCAAAGTTTATTAAATCTTGCTGCTCTGGTTTTGGTAAACTGTTTTAGAAAAGGAGATACTCTGGTAGCTATCGCAAATACATTAACACTGTAATGACATGCTCATAGAACAAATAAACAGCCAGAAAGTGGTCTAGCTCATTCATTGGGGTTGGGGAAAAGATATTAGTTCTCCTCTTTGCCTGTGTCAGGTTTAGGAACTTACATTAGCTATTTGGGATATGAATTAACACAAATAACAAACTGTGCTTCTGAGTAGATTTGTTTATTGTTGAGATGACTAAGCAAAAGCTCTCTCTCAAGTAGACATCAATGTTTACTTTCAAAATATTTTCTTTTTTTTTTTCCTGGCCAGGTATACTGATTCCAGGTGCTTATATTGTACAAATGAGTACCTAGAGTCTTTTAGTACATAAGCATAGCATTAAATGAGAGTTCTACCCTACCTGGATATTACCCAGAGAGAGATTCGAAAATTAAAGTAGAAATAAAGTTAATTCCAGAGAGTGGAAGAGCAACAGTAGTTTAGCCAACCATTACAGTTAACATGAGTCATCAGATGTATAAAGTCAGAAGAGGCTGTGCAATGTTTTATTTTATGTCAGTCATTTTTACTTACTCAGAATAATTCCAAATCTAATGTTGAGATTTGATTTTAATTGTTTGGAACACTGGTCCACAGAAAAGCCAAAATCCTGTAATGGATCTGCCAAGAAGAAAATAAGAGATTAGTTGTGAGTACACTGTATGTTCTACAAACTCACATTCAAACTTTGTACCAATACTAATTGTTTTCACACGAATCACTAAATGTATTCAAAAACATATTGTCCAATGATGATTTTTTTTCATATAAGTCCATGTTATGGACTTTCAGCAGCTCCTATAAGTCTTTTCAAAGTCAATGTCATGTTCCTCTAACAACAGGCACCCCACCCACAAAATGAGCACTGTTTCTTGTTTGTTGGGTTATATCTTTACTTGTGAAGGTTTTTATCATTTAAATTTTCAATCATTGCTTGAATTATTTTAGTTCCTATGCTTTTGGTCTTGAAAATTATTCTTGGATTACAAAGCACATTTCATGAAGTATTTATTATTATAATTAAAATAGAGGGAGATACACATAGACTTTCAAAGTCAAGACCTACCTTTGTAATTCCATTTCATCCTATCCTATCCCATCCTATTCAATGTAATAATTTTCTCCAAATATTCCACTATGTGTAAGGCATTGTGTTAGATATGGGAGGGGCTATAAAGATAATATTTTTCATATAATTTTTGCTCATTCAAAAGGTTCCAGGCTCTCATCTATGTCTCAGAATAAAGTCTGGACATGATCTATTGGCCCTGCTTTCCATACTTGACATCATGAGTCCATCCTCCATGCACACCCAGAAAATGCCTACCACGTTTGATTTGCTCCAGGGCTTTCTCCCATTTGGAACAGTCTTACTTCTTTGGGCCATTATCAAAACACTCAAGTCTTAATCCTTCCCTCTGGTTTGTGAGGGCTTCCCTGATAGCCACCCAAATATTCTTTTGCTTCTTTGAATTCTTAAAACAGTATGCCTGATGGGAGGAACACTTAAGGTCAGGAGTTCAAGACCAGCCTAAGCATGAGTGAAACCTCATCTCCACTAAAAATAGAAAAATTAGGGGTGGCGCCTGTGGCTCAAAGGGTAGGGTGCCGGTCCCATATGCCAGAGGTGGTAGGTTTGAACCCAGCCCTGCCTGGCCAAAAAAAAAAAAAAAAAAAAGAAAAATTAGCCAGCTGCAGTGGTGTGTGTAGCTGTGGTCCCAGCTACTTGGGAGAGGCTGAGGCAGGACGATCACTTGAACTCAGGAGTTTGAGGTTGCAGTGAGCTATGATGACCACTACACTCTAGCTGGGGCAACAGAGTAAGACTTTGCCTCAACAAACAAACAAACAAAAACAACAACCAAATGAAACCAAACACACTAGTATGCCTGAAATTCTTTTTAAACTGTACACATATGTGTTACCTTGTTTTTTGCTTTGTGGTTTATCCCTCGACACCTAATCTAAATATGGGATTCCTTAAAAACCAGGGCTGGTTCCTTGTTTTGTTTTGCATTTCTTTTTCCTTTATGTTTCCCACTGGGCCTGAAAGAGGAGACCCATTTTTGGTGGAATGTCTACCCTGTAGTAATCATTGGGACGTGAACTTTGTAAGAGTTTCCAGTGAATTCTGTAGAGTCTTCAGAGCCTAGCACAGAGCCTGGCAGTTGGACACACTGTAAACACTCCACAAATGTATACAATAAATGGGTGGGTGTGCCATGTATTAAGCTGATTCTCAGCTCCAAATTCAGCCTTTTGTCCTCTGCTTTGAAAATTAGAAGCACTCTGCAATTATGTCTCTCCCTTGCCACCTGCAGGTCAAGGTACCGGGGGAAAGAGGCTAGAGCCAGAGAAGAAACTTGATTTGCTCTTTCTTACATACTTGCTTAGTGTCACTGGTGATGGCCGATCACCATAGTAGTGGCAGTTAGTTCCCGTGTCCAGCTCCTTTCTTCACCTTCCCAGGATTAGCTGTGGCTCAGCTTTGCGGATAACTAAGTTTCTGCAGTAACATTCCTCAGCCCCACAGGGTTCTTTCAAGCATCCAGGATCTAATCACTCCAACCTCTTCACTTTGCTCTCCCAGCCCTGGCAGTGGTGGCTGCTTCTTTGCTCTTCTTTCTTTGCTTTTTTAGTTCTCCAGTCAATTCCCTATATTAAATTCTCCCTGTTACAGTAACCAATATGGTCTCTGTTTTCCTGACAAGACTCAGTGCTAGAATAAACAACAATCTGGGGAGATAAGTATGATTTTCCTTATTTCACGGATGGAAAAATATAGATTCAAAGAGGATAGATAGTACTAAGTTATCCAGATTCCTGCAGTAGAAAGTGTTAGAATCAAGATTCAAAGCCAGAGTTAAAAACAAACAAATTGTTGCCTGGCATTGTACAGTGATATTGCACAAAGTAGAACCTTAAATACATATGTTAATTATTTGATCTGTAAGATTGCCCAGAATATCTTGTGTTCAGGCATATGGCATCTGATAGTCCTATTTCACAACCAATTTCCATTTTAGCATAGCTATCTGCTTACATTTGCCAATGATAGTGTTCCAGACAGTTTTATCATCCACACTGCTGACTTGAAAGATTCATCATTGTCCGTGTGGCATATTCCATGAAGAGAACTACTTGGCAATTTCAGCCTTACAAATCTAACATGGGGGAAATTTTGTTTGATCAAAATCCCTTTGGTCTGGTCTAAATTTCCCAAGAGGGAAAGCTTTTTTTTTTCTTACACTCATTGGACTTCTTCCTAAGCATCTTTGTGCTATCTCAGGGCTTCTTTTACCCCAGAAAATAAGAGCAGGAAGTATGGAGACAGTAGTTCCTACACTGGACAGAAGCCATGAAACTTTGGCTAATTCAGCTATACCTAGGTATGTTCAACAACTGGAAAAAGGGACCATAAGAGGTCAGTGAGCCAACACTCTGGGTGGGAAGGGACTATATACTTGGCAGTCAGTTTTGAAAAAGGCAGAGGCCAATGAACATATGTTTAGGCAGGTGCATTCCCAAAATTGTGGATAAATTTAAGTTGCTATCTGAGGCAAAAGAAAATAGGCTAAATATGTATTGCTTAGTTAATTAGCAGTTACGGAATTACACTGTATGACTATAAATATTTTATAAACCGACGAAGGGCAGGAGAAGGCAACAACGCATCTCCTTGGTACTGGAAAAATATTATTGTTAGGAAAAGAATCTTAATAAGGAACAAAGTTGCAAAGAATGTAGTAGGTTGCTTTTCTCTGAGGATATGTATAAAGAGGAGAAAGGCAGATTGCTTAAATAGTGCTTATGGGTTTGTTGAGCTGTCCTAGCAGTTATTTCAAATTTGTATGCCAGAACGATGTCTTTGAATATAAACACATGGTTTGTGGTCCTATTGGGAAAAGTGACATCAGTTCCTCCCCATCCTCCAACCCCATCCCCATAAACTCATAACCTTCTCAGTATTTATTTGTATTTCCATTCAGGCTCTGAGCATGCTGTATATTACGTTACGTTCGTTTGTATGCCTCTGTTATTCCTCTGCCAGCTGCTGCAAGGGCAGGTTCCCCAGTGCCAGGACTGCGCATAATGTCTGAATATTATTCTAGGTTCCAAATAATTGTTTGCTGAATGAATAATTGAGGTTGTTTATAGCAAATTTGCTGAGAAGCTAAAAGCAGGATTTCTCAACCTTGTCACTATGGACACGTTTTTATAGATCATTTTTTTCGGGGGGGGGGGCGTCCTGTGTACCGTAAGATGTTTAGCAGCCTCCCTGGCCTCTACCCACTAAATGCCAGTGCCCCTCCCAACAAAAATGGTCTCCAGACATGGCCAGAGTTCCCTTGGGAGATAAACTCACCCTTGGTGGAGATAACTGCTTTAAAGAATTACCTTCTTAGTCACCAGCATGCCCACACTGCCCCATCCCTGGGTATGAGGGCCCTGTAAGCCAGCTGAGTGTAAATCTTGGCTCCAGGACAGCAGCCAGCAGCATCTGCTTTGCATACGAAGGGCAGCAACTATCAAATCCCTCCCCGAAATGTTTTCTTGCAGATTCACAGAGTAGAATAGAGCTGGATGAACAAACTGAGGTTACAGAGCACAGGGTCTGTGCTTAACAAATCTCAGCTTCAGGGACATTTCTGAGCCTGTACTCTATCAGTCACCTGTGATCTCTTGGGTAGGGCTAGACCTGAGCAGCTGTCCCTGAGAGGACAGCCTTGCCTTGGTGACTTCTAGCTAGCAGTGCCCATACAGCGAGGGTTACTAGGAAGAAAACAGAATCCGACGGCATATCTTCTGGAACTCAATTCCTCAGAGAGTGGTGGGCGCTCCCGGGGTGACTCTGCTGGGCCCCTGCTTGATTTGGTCTCAGGCAGCCCAAATGCTTGGAGGTGTGTCCACATGTCCTGGGTCTGTGGGTGCAGCGACACTCTCTGCAGCCTCTGTGTTGCTGGGTCAGGGGTGGTCTGAGGTGTGTGTGGGATGAAACTCTCAGCTAGCTAGTCTCGTTTTCAATAGGCCATAGCTATGCCTAAGGTTTTTGTCTTCCACTTTATATTTTGAAATGACTATATTTTTACAGGAAGTTGCAAAAAGATACAAGAGGTTTCACTTACCCTCCCAAACTTTATATTTTGAAAGAATTATATTCTCACAGAAAGTTGCTGAAGTTTCAGGTGCCCTTCCCCCATAGTACAATGTTACATATAGGACAGTATCAAAACCAAGCCACTGATGGTCCAGTCCACAGAGCTCATCCAGATTTCCCCAGTTTTATAGGCCTGTGTGTGTAGGTGTGTGTACATGCATGGGTTTTATTTTTTGAGTTAAAAACTGTTAGAAATTGGCCTTCCTTCTCCTGTGGGAGGTATAATTCTTATAGCAGAGTCATTGTGGAAAGGAGCTGACCCTCCCTCTAACCAGCCTCTCCTATACTCATGTCCACGTGCAACCCAAGTTTGTCATGTCCTTCCTACTACGTGAAAGTAGTCCTCTCTCCTTCCCTTTCTTTTCTCCTCTCCTCCCCCTTTCTCCTTCTCACTTTCCCTCTGTCCCTCCCATTCTGCTTTTCTCTCCCCTTTTCTGTTTTTCTCCCTACCCTTCTCTGCAGT